AGAGAGATTGAGAGAGAGATTAAGAGACAGAGAAAGATTGAGAGAGACAGAAAGAGAGAGAGAGAGACACACACACATACACAGAGACAGAGAGATTGAGAGAGAGACAGACAGACAGGGACAAAGTCGAGTCAGACAGTGAGAGAGAGAGAGAGAGAGAGAGAGGGAGGGAACCTCAGGAGGGAACCTTGGGTTGCCATCTTGATGCCAAGGAAGAAAGCCAGCTGGGTGAACAGGAGGGATGAGCCCTGTTCCCTGGAAAGCCTTCCTGGCAGGGAAGGGAGTGGAGGGGTCCCTCAATATGTGCCCATCATGATCTCCCCCCACCCTCTTCCTCTCAAATCCCCTCCCCCTCCCCCCGCAAAAAAATATTGCCTTCTCTTCCAGATGGTTCACACGCTCGCCAGCAATGGCGCCAACTCCATCTGGGAACACTCCCTCCTCGATCCGGCACAAGTGCAGAGCGGACGCCGTAAAGCGAACCCTCAGGACAAAGTCCAGTGAGTGGGGTTGTATTTGGCGGGGGGGGGCTTCAGTTGGGGGTGGGGTTGTCAGGGAGGAATGCCTCGATGTCGGGGCTTTGTGCTTGGCCCAAACGGTTCTGGAGTCAGGAGAGAGGGATTCCATGCCAGGGTTTCAAAATTATATATATTTTTAGTTTGTCCCCTACCCAACGCACACATATGCCTCCCCAGTCTGGTTTATTTATTAAATTTATTTGCCCCCCCCAAAAAAAAAAATCTTGCACAGGTAGTCCTTGACATAGGACCACAATTGGCTGGGCGATTCTGGGAGTTGTAGTCCACCCCTTGCCAACTCGTAAAGCATTCTTGGCTCATGAATTAATTAGGGCGTTCGTTGGAACCCTGACACCCCTCTTTACAATCCCCAAGGTTGAAAAACAGAGAGAGGTGTGTGTATGTGTGTGTGTGTGTGTGTGTTCTAGAGCTATCCACATGGGGGTCCAAAGAGGACTGTGCCAACCAAAGATCTCCTACGTTAAAGGAGGGCAGGGAATAATGGTAGCCTGCCCTTCTCGGATGGACTTGTGCCTGGCCTTGTTGTGGCCTGCCGGCAGAGCTGGCAGCAGATTCGGACAGTGAGGAGGTTGAGGAGGAACCAGGGCCAGTCCTGGAGTCTGGGGAAGGCTCTACCCTATGTCGGAGGCAGAGATGGGACCAGGACCCTCCGAACAGTTATCAGCTGCCTTCGGAGTCGGAGATCAGTGGGGAAGAAGAACAGCTGGAGCCTGTTCCCAGTGTGCCCATGCACAGAGCTGCCAGAAGAAGGGAACAGCTAAGGAAAACGGGTTGTCTTGGGAGTGAAGGCACAAGTGGATGGTGAATGGCCCCTCCCAGAGGGAATAACAGAGGCGCAAAAGGAGGAGAGTGGGACTTTGCAGGATACAATTAGTTCATTTGGGTGAAGATCTATTCCTGCATCCTTGCCAAGTGTTGTCTGCTACAGTGCGGTGTCTGAAAGATACCGGCCTGGCAACTCTCCAAGCCTGATCAAGGTCTGGAATTGTGGAATCTCTTGAAAGACTGTTGGCCGGGACTTTGCTGGAGAGGAATTCCCTTTAACCTAAATAAAAGGGGTTTATCGAGGGACGAGGAGCCGGCTTCGTGTTGTTGGAGAAGCCTAGGTCAGAACAGGCCTGAGCTTGAGGGGTGGGGGCTTTTGTTCTTGTTTCTTGCCCTGTCTCCACCAAAGCTTTGCCCCTCAAGGCCACAGCCCCCCCCCCCCCCCCCCAGTTAAGGATAGTTGTCAGGGCTCCGACAAACCACCCTCATTCGAATCGTAAGTCTCTAGCCGCATTTCTCAGAGTTTAAAAAGAATCATTTATTAGGAGTGACCATGTCGGCGTTACCTGGGTGCAGCTGACTCTAAGACCCATCATTCATTTCCCCCTTGACCCTGGTCTTCCCCCCCCCACACCCCTTGATGTATATTCTCCAATGGGTCACATCCATAGCCAAGAGTCATCAATCATGCTCTACCAGTAGTAATCTTGTGCGCCAACAGCTTCGGCTGCCTAGCAATTATCTGAAGCATTTAAGGAATGTACTGCTCCCCCCGCCCCCCGCCATCCTTTCTGCTGGCAACTCTACAAGACCGAAGGAATATTTTTCAGTTGACGGATAGGGCCGGCCATGGGGGCAGAAAGAGCCCTAACGGATCC